AAATAAATATAAATCTTTAAAATTACCTGCTTAAATAAATATACATCTTTAAAATTACCTGCTTAAATAAATATACATCTTTAAAATTACCTGTTTAAATAAATATAAATCTTTAAAATTACCTGTTTAAATAAATATACATCTTTGAAATCACCTGTTTAAATAAATATACATATTTACAATTACCTGTTTAAATAAATATACATCTTTAAAATTACCTGTTTAAATAAATATACATCTTTAAAATTACCTGCTTAAATAAATATACATCTTTAAAATTACCTGCTTAAATAAATATACATCTTTAAAATCACCTGCTTAAATAAATATACATCTTTAAAATTACCTGTTTAAATAAATATAAATCTTTAAAATTATCTGTTTAAATATAAATCTTTAAAATTACCTGTTTAAATAAATAGACATCTTTAAAATTACCTGCTTAAATAAATATACATCTTTAAAATTACCTGCTTAAATAAATATACATCTTTAAAATTAGCTATACCTACAAAATATGGAGAGTTTTCCAAATGTTTCAAACAATTAGCATACTCTAGGCTACTTGTCTCTCAACACAGACAGTGTTATCTAGGTTACATGTTTTCCAACACAGACAGTGTTATCTAGGTTACATGTTTTCCAACACAGTGTTAGCTAGGTTACATGTTTTCCAACACAGAAAGTGTTATCTAGGTTACATGTTTTCCAACACAGACAGTATTATCTAGGTTACATGTTTTCCAACACAGACAGTATTATCTAGGTTACATGTTTTCCAACACAGAAAGTGTTATCTAGGTTACATGTTTTTCAACACAGACAGTATTATCTAGGTTACTTTTTTTTCAGCACAGTGCTATCTAGGTTACATGTTTTTCAACACAGTGTTATCTAGGTTACTTTTTTTCAGCACAGTGTTATCTAGGTTACATGTTTTTCAACACAGTGTTATCTAGGTTACTTTTTTCAGCACAGTATTATCTAGGTTACATGTTTTTTCAACACAGTGTTATCTAGGTTACATGTTTTTCAACACAGACAGTATTATCTAAGTTACTTTTTTTCAGCACAGTGCTATCTAGGTTACATGTTTTTCAACACAGACAGTATTATCTAGGTTACTTTTTTCAGCACAGTACTGTGTTGAAAAACATGTAACCTAGATAACACTGTGTTGGAAAACATGTAACCTAGATAACACTGTGTTGAAAAACATGTAACCTAGATAAATCAAGTTTGTAGATTATATAACCCCACATCAAGTTTGTAGATTATATAACCCCACATCAAGTTTGTAGATTATATAACCCCACATCAAGTTTGTAGATTATATAACCCCACATCAAGTTGGTAGATTATATAACCCCACATTAAATTGGTAGATTATGTAACCACATACTTTGTTGGGTCATTATGTAAGCCTACATATAGTCGGTTGATTATGTAACCCCTTATTTAATTGATTTGTTGATTATATAACCCCACATATTTTGACTGATTATGTACCCCACATATGGTTGATTGAATATGTAACTCCACATTTAGTTGGTTGATTGTGTAAACCCACATTTAGTGGGATGATTGTGTAAACCCACATTTAGTTGGATGATTGTGTAAACCCCCTTTTAGTTGGTTGATTGTGTAAACCCTCATATGGTTGGTTGATTGTGTAAACCCACATTTAGTTGGATGATTGTGTAAACCCCCATTTAGTTGGTTGATTGTGTAAACCCCCATTTAGTTGGTTGATTGTGTAAACCCACATTTAGTTGATTGATTGTGTAAGCCCCCATTTAGTTGGTTGATTGTGTAAACCCACATTTAGTTGGATGATTGTGTAAACCCCCATTTAGTTGGTTGATTGTGTAAACCCCCAATTAGTTGGTTGATTGTGTAAACCCACATTTAGTTGATTGATTGTGTAAACCCTCATATGGTTGACGTAGTACATTAAACTGCACATCATTGTAGCTTCAGTTGGATCATCCTATTATTTTATGATAATTTTTAGTTAAAACAATTTTTCATAAGTCATGAAATGAGAGACCTTAATACAGAAACAAATTATTTACTTAATCAGGTTTCTGGCTTATATATTGATGCTAGTGATGGATCTGAACCTGATTTAGTCATTTCCACCGGTTGGTGTAGATTTACAGCAGAGACTGCACAGGGTGTAAGTATTAAAATAGTTTTTTACTGTAGATTTACAGCAGAGACTGCACAGGGTGTAAGTATTAAAATAGTTTTTTACAACTTGACAAAAACAAAAAACCTCGTATGCTGAGTAACATTCGTGATAACAATTTATACAAATATACCTGTTAAGAGTTATACTGTAATATTAAAAACCAAGTACTCTACTCTAGATAACACTTTGAATGTGTTGAAAAACAAGCAACTTAGATAACACTTTGTCTGTGTTGAGATACAAGTAATCTACATAACATTGTTTGTGTTGAAAAACGTGTAACCTAGATAGCACTGTGCTGAAAAAAAAGTAACCTAGATAATACTGTCTGTGTTGAAAAACATGCAACCTAGATAGCACTGTGCTGAAAAACATGTAACCTAGATAACACTGTGCTGAAAAACATGTAACCTAGATAACACTGTGTTGAAAAACATGTAACCTAGATAATACTGTGTTGAAAAACATGTAACCTAGATAATACTGTGTTGAAAAAAAGTAGCCTAGATAACACTGTGCTGAAAAACATGTAACCTAGATAGCACTGTGTTGAAAAACATGTAATCTAGATAGTACTGTGCTGAAAAACATGTAACCTAGATAACACTTTGAATGTGTTGAAAAACAAGCAACTTAGATAACACTTTGTCTGTGTTGAGATACAAGTAATCTACATAACACTGTTTGTGTTGAAAAACGTGTAACCTAGATAGCACTGTGCTGAAAAAAAAGTAACCTAGATAATACTGTGTTGAAAAAAATGTAACCTAGATAACACTGTGTTGAAAAACATGTAACCTAGATAACACTGTGTTGGAAAACATGTAACCTAGATAATACTGTGTTGAAAAACATGTAACCTAGATAACGTGGGGTTATATAATCTACCAACTTAATGTGGGGTTATATAATCTACCAACTTAATGTGGGGTTATATAATCTACAAACTTAATGTGGGGTTATATAATCTACAAACTTAATGTGGGGTTATATAATCTACCAACTTAATGTGGGGTTATATAATCTACAAACTTAATGTGGGGTTATATAATCTACCAACTTAATGTGGGGTTATATAATATACCAACTTCATGTGGGGTTATATAATCTACCAACTTAATGTGGGGTTATATAATCTACAAACTTAACGTGGGGTTATATAATCTACAAACTTAATGTGGGGTTATATAATCTACAAACTTAACGTGGGGTTATATAATCTACAAACTTAATGTGGGGTTATATAATCTACAAACTTAACGTGGGGTTATATAATCTACAAACTTAATGTGGGGTTATATAATCTACAAACTTAACGTGGG